GGAGACAATACCGGAGACAAGGCAGAAACAGCGACCAACAAGAAGGGAAACAAGACCGGAGACAAGAAGGTAGACAACGCGACGCAGTGACCAACAAGAAGGAAATAAGACCGGAGACAATAATGGAAACAAGACCGGAGACAAGAAGGGAGACAACGCGACGCAATGACCAACAAGAAGGGAAACAAGACCGGAGACAAGACCGGAGACAGGCAGACACAGTGACCAACAAGAAGGGGAACAAGACCGGAGACAAGACCGGAGACAAGGCAGACACAGTGACCAACAAGAAGGGGAACAAGACCGGAGACAAGACCGGAGACAAGGCAGACACAGCGACCAACAAGAAGGGAAACAAGACCGGAGACAAGACCGGAGACAGGCAGACACAGTGACCAACAAGAAGGGGAACAAGACCGGAGACAAGACCGGAGACAAGGCAGACACAGTGACCAACAAGAAGGGGAACAAGACCGGAGACAAGACCGGAGACAAGGCAGACACAGCGACCAACAAGAAGGGAAACAAGACCGGAGACAAGACCGGAGACAGGCAGACACAGTGACCAACAAGAAGGGGAACAAGACCGGAGACAAGACCGGAGACAAGGCAGACACAGTGACCAACAAGAAGGGGAACAAGACCGGAGACAAGAAGGTAGACAACGCGACGCAGTGACCAACAAGAAGGAAATAAGACCAGAGGGGAAACAAGGCTGGAGACAAGACCGGAGACAAGGCAGACATGGTGACCAACAAGAAGGGAAACAAGACCGGAGACAAGAAGGGAGACAACGCGACGCAGCGCCAACAAGAAGGGGAACAAGACCGGAGACAAGAAGGGGAACAAGACCGGAGACAAGAAGATCAAGAAGGGAAACAAGACCTGAGACAAGACCGGAGACAAGGCAGACACAGTGACCAACAAGAAGGGAAACAAGACCAGAGACAAGACCGGAGACAAGGCAGACACAGTGACCAACAAGAAGGAAACAAGACCAGAGACAAGAAGGGAGACAAGGCCGACGCAGTGATCACCAAGAAGGTAGAAAGGACCGCAAATAAGGAGGCGCACACAAAGGGAAGCACGAAGGAGACAAGACAAGTCCGGAGACAGGGAGACAAGACCGGAGACAAGGCGGACACGTCGTCCCACACAAAAGGGAAGAACGAAAGGAGACAAGACAATTCCGGAAACAGGGAGACAAGACCCGAGACAAAGCGGACACGCTCACCCACACCAAGGCGGACACTCTTTTAGAAAGCATTGAGAACCTCTCGCAGTAACCTGCTTGGGGAAACAAGATGGAAGCCACGAACCCGAATGTATTCACGTTCTTGGACTACGAGCGCAAACCTCTGCAATAGGAAAACGAACATTTTTTTTGCATGCATCGTGCACTCATATCGTCTCAGCGAAGGCACCTGAGCAACAGTTCACAAAGAGACAAGTAGCCAGCACAACAACATCACCACCAGCATAACGAAATCACAACCAGCGCAATAACATCACCAGCGCAATGAAATCACAACGAAATCACCAGCACAACAAATTCAGAACAAACGAAATCACCAGCGCAACGAAATCACCAGCACAACGAACGCACCAGCGAACCTCACCAGCGCAACAAAATCACCAGCGCAGCAAACAAACGAAATCACCACCGCAACGAAATCACCAGCACAACGAACGCACCAGCGAACCTCACCAGTCACCAGCACAACAAAATCACCAGCACCCAACATCACCAGCACAACAACATCACCAGCACAACGGGATCACCACCACCTGCCACACTCCACACGTTACACACTGCACACTCCACACTCCACGCACTACACACTACACACCACACTCTACACTCTACACTTTGCACTCTACATTCCACACTCCACATTCGACACTTTCCACTCCACACTCCACACTCTACACTTTACACTCCACACTCCACACTTTGCACTCCTCACTCCACACTTTAAATTCCACACTTCACACTTTGCACTCTACACTTTGCACTTTACACTCCTCACTCCGCACTTTACACTCCACACTTTACACTCCACACTCCACACTCTTCACTTTACACTCTACACTCGACACTTTACACTCCACACCTCCACACTTTACACTCCACACTCCCCACTCCTCACTCCACACAACATTTCACACTCCACACTCCACAGCACTCCACACTCCAAAACACTCTACACTCTACATACACCACACTCCTCACTCCACACTGAGCACTTTAAACTCCACACTTGACACTTGACACTTTGCACTTTACACTCCTCACTCCACACTCTACACTTTACACTCTACACTTTACACTCTACACTCCACACTTTACACTTAACACTCCACGCTTTCCACTTTACACTCCACACTCTACACTTTTCACTCTACACTTTACACTCTACAATCCACATCTTACAATTAACACTCCAAGCTTTCCACTGATCTGCATGGCGATTATTCAGCTCCTCACAAACAGTCTGTCGCAGCCACTAGAAATTTCATAACTTTCCTGCACTAGAAATTTAACTTCATAACAAGCCTGCGCTTGAGTGGTCAGACGAGCCTCCATGTCCTGCAAACGAAACAAAAAGACACAGGATTAATCATTCAAATCAAAGCTTCAGCAGCAATTATACACGATATTTTACGATAGCCATTAATATGATAAAAGAGAAAATGAATGAAACTTTTAATATAAAAAAAGAGGGTGGGACGCCACCAGGTCCTTTGATACGGCGATTCAACTTCTTCATGTGACCTATGGCTAGCATTGGCACTGGTGGTTAATAAGAACCCTTGAACTTAAAAAAGTCAAAAAAACACATAGACAACGACAACAAACGATCAAATTTCAAGATAGGGTTGAGGTTCAAGTTGTGACCAAAAACTAGCTAAGCGGCAAGGATTACATTGACACTTCTTACTATGGCGATGTGCGTGGAAACTGTCGACAACGCAGTACTTCAACTGGGTCAACGCAGGCTCTTGTTTGGCGGACTTCATCACTGCACAGGCTTGACCATACACGAAGCAATTGCACTGGGGTACGGCCACAAGGAATCTTCCAAGGCTTCTAGGACGGTTTCGTTGCCTTCAGGCTCTAACATCATACTCGTGTGCAAGATACGTCCTGTCTCAGGATCACACATATAACAAACCAACCATTGGCATGACGTCCTGCCTTCCATGGGTGTGCGGCGTGGTTTTCCTCCCCTCTTCTTAGGACCTTCGACAAATTCAGAACCTGTCCCTGACCATCTCCTACAATAGTCTTCACTGTGGATCGGTCCCTGTGTGGAAAGAAAGTTCCATGACAAAGGGCATGATACGTTGACACGGCATGGTTCGATACTTCATGTCCAATCCATACCTCAAAGTGCAAACCCAACTGTTCCAACTCCTGCATGGCAATCTTGCAGAAGAGAGCATTTTCATGGAGTCTTCGAAACCAGTCAGGATACACGGACATACTTTCACTGTACACTACATCATGCGCATGGGCAACTGCTCGAGTGGTGACAAGCCCACGGAAGTGGAGTTCCTCATGGTACTTCAGGTAGCCCAATGTTAACCCGCACTTGCCTTTGATGAAGAGGACGCCCTCATGTAGATCATGTAGAGAGACTGCATTGACCTTTTGCTCTTGGGGCCACAAGATTAATTGAATCCATACACTGTGTGGCCAACCTAGCAGAGCACTGCTTGACGACAACTTTCACCTCACGGGGTTCATCCAATCCATATACCGTTGCTTCAACAGTATGGTGTTTCAACAACGTACCGTAACAACCAGGAAGCACACAAGCCTGCAACGGACATGCACACTTGCTGCTGGACCCTCAAACAAAACCTGCCAGAGAATGTTTCCCCTGGTTCGTGTTGACGCTTGCCTTGAGATGGAACAAGGTTACTTCATGGGACTGTGCCAAGGGGGCTACCTGCCCAACAGACAAAGATGCCGAATCGTGTTTCCAGGGTGTTAGTTCGATAAGGTTTCCTCCATATTTTCAAGGTTCCCAACTTTTCTATAATTAGTTTTTGGTTGCTATAATGCTACTTGTGGTATACCAGCCAAATAATCCAATCCTCCCAAGCAACATGAAGCTTGCCAGGGAGAAAATTACCATGGTTTACCCATATAGCTGTTCAATGCGAAACCCTTGATACACTCTGGGTTTTAACTATAATCATCATCAGTAACTAGGAGACTGGAGACTGACCCATTTTCCGACACCAGGTTTATAAAGGGCCCCGTCAGAAATTGGATACCCAAATGTTCAAAGTTGTAGATCATCATTTCCCTAAAAATTGCCGAAACTGAAGGTATCCCCAAATCTGGGGATACCCAAAAAAAGACCTCGCCCAAGGACTGCTCGCAGCCTGAAATCGAAGACTTGCTGGAGCCCAGGTGTGAGTTAACCTCGTATAAACTAACACTGGTGCGGAAAACTAAACATTTTTAGTAGGTAAATCATCTATAACTGGGCGACCGTCCATAGCTATATTGCATTACCAAAGGGCAGACTGTCACGATTAAAGATCCAAAACTTAGAGGTCCCGCTTTTGCTGCCCACATGATGTTCTTGATGAAGTTTGTAGGGTTTTCAGGTTCAGCCAACAATGGTACACATATCACCACCCAATCATCATGCACAGTCGGAGTAGGCAGTTTCGTTACAATATCCGTCAGGGTAACAATCAAAGAGATCGAGCTAAAAGATCTTCGCGATCCAGTCATGTCTTCTGAACATCAACATGATGCAGTATCATAAGGACCAAAAAACATCAACATTGGGCTCCATCAATTCCTTCCAGAACTATGTTTGGAAGATATCCTTTGGTAATCAAACAGGGCAATGGAAAATCCCCCACTTCATAGATGAATTGAGCATTCTAAAATTTCACAGCCATCTTTCAGTACCTCTCTCCATTTCACCACCTCCTTTCCGTTCCATCCCTCCATCTCCTATCCACCGAGCTGCAAAGGTGTTCTGCCATCTTCCGTGGCACGATCTTTATCCGCACCTGCTTCCAAGAGCATCACCGCCACCGAGGGATGGTTACTCTCAGCCGCGATGAAGAGTGGTGTTCGACCATCCTCGGTGGCCTTGTCCTTGTCTGCACCTGTGACCGCAGCTGGCGCCAAGAATGAAGCCAGGTAAGCCGAGGAAGGAAAACTCTCCAATAGCTGGCTGAAAACGGTTTATGGTCTAATTTGATCTAATTTGTCCCCAATAACCAGGTAGTATACAACTCCTTGTTTCATAGCCAATTAACGAGGCTATTTGGCCACCTGTCAGGTGAGGGTTGTTAGACTTTATGTCAGCTGGCCCGCCGCCTCCTCCGCGTCCTCCTCCTCCTGCTCCTCCGCCGGACCTCAACTGCAAGCGCTAGATCGCAGCGTTCCCCGCCGGACCCGAACAGCAAGCCCAGGATCAGAGTGTTCCCCGCCGGACCTGAACTGCAAGCGCTAGATCGCAGTGTTCCCCGCCGGACCTCAACCACAAAGAATCTCCGAAGATATGCTGGATAGAATGCCAGAAATTCAAAAAAAAATGTCAGAAGATATGCCAGATAGAATGCTAGAAAGAAATTCCCAATATATGCCAGAAGGTATGTCAGAATAGATACCAGATAGAATGCCAGAAAAAATGTTAGAGTATATGCCAGAAAGAATGACTTCCAGATGGTGTGTCAGAAGCTATGTCAGAATAATGGATCAGGGTGAGGATCACTCGAAGAAAGTAATTTGAAGGTTTCAATTCTACTTTCCAATTCTTACAGGCTGGAACATGCTTGAATCCATCTGCCTGAAGATAATACCATGGTCTCTCTTCAAGACAACAATGTGGGTATGGATCAAATCATTGGAGTATATCTAAGAGGATGAGAATACTAAAGATGACCAAACATTGTGGTCCCCTGAGCCTCCAACTTTGATTCATACATGTCAAAGCTTGGAAACAATAGAAGATTGCGGGGAATGTGGGGGATGAAACATCTTTTCTAAGTGTGTAGAATCCCGGAATAACTGGATAAACCATGATAAACCCCATTCCTTTGTATGGTTCTTTCCGCTGCATGACGGGAACATGGAAGTGGAAAACGCCACCCCCTCCCCATTTTCACAAGAATCTTCCAGAGTTTTTCCTTCCAGTTCCATGATTCTTTGGATACCCTCCTGTAAACTAACATAGATGTGGAAACCCCCGTTTGTAGTTTGTGGGGTTTGTCGATCATGTTCCTATGGAAGCTCTTGGTTTTCCACTTCTATCTTAGTTTGTAAATCTAGTTTTTGTACCTCGATGCCCTAGTCACAATTCCTAACATTTGAGGATCTTTGGTTTCAAAGGTGTTTCCAGCCCAGCCACCTAACTATCAAACATAAATGTTACAGTTTCAAACACATATCTATCGCCCCGATCAATCATGAATTGAATACAAACAAATGAATGTTCCAAAATTGTCCGGAAAATATTAGGTGGTATAAGCCGCTGTAGCCCGACGAATTAATACCTTAGAAAAAGTGTTTTCTTGAGTTTGGAACCCAACCCAACCAATCGTCAACCATCACTTATCAACTATATGCCCACTCCTTTTATATCGTGTTTAAATACCCGTACCCACATGTCCTTCATTTCCCGGTTTTTCCGCCCAAAACAAATATTATTGATATGATATCATGCTGTTGGTTGTTCATCCCGTCATGTCAAGTGAGATCCCCGTTCTATCCCATTATTATATCCCTATCACACCCCATAAGACGTGTCTTTTCCTCCAGGTTGGAACTCCATATTTGATGGTTCAACCACGACCTGTCACCCTTTTCCATGGTTAAACCATCATGTGCTCCCAATTTTGCCTGAGTAAACCATAGTTTTTCATGGTTTTGCCCCATTTCCACTAGTGAACCACCATTTTTCCATGGTTAAACCACCATGTTGCACTAATTGTCATGTTTCAACAACCATGTTTCGCCATATGTAACCTTCTGCTACATGTTTTTCATTGTTTGCTGCACCACCATTATTTTCATTGTTAAATCACCATTGTGAGCTGCTGGAACCTACTAGTATCCCCATCATAATCCCTACATTTACTGCTTAAACCATCATAAATCTGGTTATCCCGGATGGTATATGGATGGCTATTCCCTTAGCCATATGGTAAGTTCATAGGTTTTGACCCATCCCCACTTCATTCATGGGGTACTCCACCATGGATGGTTAACAATAACAATAGATGGTGAGTAGTATTGAAATGGCTATTAACACAATCACTGATTATGAAACAATGGTCTCAATTTCATTAATCCCACTCACAGGGTAATTTCATAGGTTTTTCACCATGTTGCATTCTTAAATCATTGTGTTTACTCAAGAAATCCCCTATGATAATCCCATAATTAAATGGTTCTATTGTTATATCCATAAAAATGTTTAAACATATTTCAAAATCCCCATGATCATCCCATACTTTTACAGTTTCAACCGCTAATTCTCAGCCATCTCTGGTTCCCCGGTCCCCCGTTGTGCGCCGGTGGCCTGCTTCCAGCAGGCAGCGCACCACGCTAGGCCAGCTGGGCACCGCCACTGACAGCGGCGTCCGACCGTGCTGGTCCGACTGGTTGCTGTCCACCTCGGGGCCCGGCCGCGAAATGGCGCCTTCTTAGGGTACGGACTAATCATGGGATTGTTCAGAACCACTATTATAACCCAGATTATAAACCATAGTAATTGACCTTTTTAGCCCATTATTAGCCCATTATCCTCTCATTCCTATCCATTATTAGCCCACTATTAGCCCATTTCACCATGGCTTAATGGGATAAGAATGGGATTATTATGGGATTATTATGGGAATACTTGGATTAACCCATCATTGGAGAATATGTCATGGGAAATTTTAGTGGATATTCATGGACCATTAATGGATAGGAATGAGAGGATAATGGGCTAATAATGGGCGAAAAAGGTGAATTACTATGGTTTATAATCTGGATTATAAATCCAGATATTCCCATCATAATCCCATAATTATCCCATTATTATCCCACAAAAACCATGGTGCAATCCCATGATTAGTCCGTAATATCCTGCTGGTCTTTTATTCCCAAGAGCGTCTGAGCGCAGGGTTCTTCCAATTGTGGGGGTCTGTATCTCATCTTCTCATCTTCACACCTTCTCATCTTCACACCTTCTCTCACACCTTCTCATCTTCACATCTTCTCATCTTCACACCTTCTCATCTTCACATCTGCTCATCTTCACATCTGCTCATCTTCACATCTGCTCATCTTCACATCTGCTCACATCTGCTCATCCTCACCTCTTCTCTCACATCTTCTCTCACATCTGCTCATCTTCACATCTGCTCATCTTCACATCTGCTCATCTTCACATCTTCTCTCACATCTCCTCTCACATCTTCTCTCACATCTGCGCATCTTCACATCTGCTCATCTTCACATCTCCTCTCACATCTTCTCTCACATCTGCTCATCTTCACATCTGCTCATCTTCACATCTGCCCATCTTCACATCTGCTCATCTTCACATCTGCTCATCTTCACATCTTCTCTCACATCTTCTCACCTTCACATCTTCTCTCCTTTCTCTCTCCTTTTTCTCTCTCTCGCCTTCTTTATCTTTCTCTCTTTAGGCCGAGGGTGGTGCCGGCGGAGAGTCACGAAACGTCAACCCTTTCGCACGAAATGAAGGTCGATCGTCAAAAACTGACGAAAAATTGCGAGTTTACTTGTCCTGGAGCAACCCTTTCGCACGAAATGAGGGTCGATCGTCAAAAACTGAGGAAAAATTGCGAGTTTACTTGTCCCCGAGCAACCCTTTCGCACGAAATGAAGGTCGATCGTCAAAAACTGAGGAAAAATTGCGAGTTTACTTGTCCTGGAGCAACCCTTTCGCACGAAATGAGGGTCGATCGTCAAAAACTGAGGAAAAATTGCGAGTTTACTTGTGCCGGAGCAACCCTTTCGCACGAAATGAGGGTCGATGCGCAAAAACTGAAGAAAAAATGCGATTTTACTTGTGCCGGACTTGTCTGTGTGTAAAAGTGTCTGTGTGTAAAAGCTTCTGCGTGTAAAAGCGTCTGTGTGTAAAAGCCTCTGTGTGTAAAAGCGTCTGTGTGTAAAAGCAACTGTGTGTAAAAGTCTCTGTGTGTAAAAGCGTCTGTGTGTAAAAGCGTCTGTGTGTAAAAGCGTCTGTGTGTAAAAGCGTCTGTGTGTAAAAGCGTGTGTGTAAAAGCTTCTGTGTAAAAGCGTTTGTATGTAAAAGTGTTTGTGTGTACAAGCTTCTGTGTGTAAAAGCTTCTGTGTGTAAAAGCGTCTGTGTGTAAAAGACTCTCTGTGCAAAAGCGTCTGTGTGCAAAAGCGCGTGTGTGTAAAAGCGTGTGTGTGTAAAAGTGTCTGTGTGTAAAAGACTCTGTGTGTAAAAGCGTCTGTGTGTAAAAGCGTCTGTGTGTAAAAGCGTGTGTGTGTGTGTGTAAAAGCTTCTGTGTGTAAAAGCCTCTGTGTGTAAAAACCCTCTGTGTGTAAAAGCGTCTGTGTGTAAAAGCAACTGTGTGTAAAAGTCTCTGTGTGTAAAAGCGTCTGTGTGTAAAAGCGTCTGTGTGTAAAAGCGTCTGTGTGTAAAAGCGTCTATGTGTAAAAGCTTCTGTGTGTAAAAGCTTCTGTGTGTAAAAGCGTCTGTGTGTAAAAGTCTCTCTGTGTAAAAGTGTTTGTGTGTAAAAGTGTTTGTGTGTAAAATCGTCTGTGTAAGAGCGTCTGTGTGTAAAAATCTCTGTGTGCAAAAGCGTCTGTGTGCAAAAGCGTGTGTGTAAAAGCGTGTGTGTGTAAAAGCGTCTGTGTGTAAAAGTTTCTGTGTGTAAGAGCGTCTGTGTGTAAAAGCGTCCGTGTGCAAAAGCGTGTGTGTGTGTGTAAAGCTTCTGTGTGTAAAAGCCTCTGTGTGTAAAAGCTTCTGTGTGTAAAAGCGTCTGTGTGTAAAAGCAACTGTGTGTAAAAGTCTCTGTGTGTAAAAGCGTCTGTGTGTAAAAGCGTAGTCTGCGTGTAAAAGCGTCTGCGTGTAAAAGCGTCTGTGTGTAAAAGCTTCTGTGTGTAAAAGTCTCTCTGTGTAAAGGTGTTTGTGTGTAAAAGTGTGTGTGTGTGTAAAATCGTCTGTGTAAGAGCGTCTGTGTGTAAAAATCTCTCTGTGTAAAAGTCTCTGTGTGTAAAAGTCTCTGTGTGTAAACGTGTTTGTGTGTAAAATCGTCTGCGGGTAAAAGCCTCTGTGTGTAAAAGCCTCTGTGTGTAAAAGTCTCTGTGTGTAAAAGTGTTTGCGTGTAAAAGTGTTTGTGTGCAAAATCGTCTGTGTGTAAAAGCGTCTGTGTGTAAAAAGCGTCTGTGTGTAAAAGTCTCTGTGTGCAAAAGCGTCTGTGTGCAAAATCCTGTGTGTAAAAGCGTCTCTGTGTAAAGAGCGTCTGTGTGTAAAAGTCTCTGTGTGCAAAAGCGTCTGTCTGTAAAAAGTTCTGTGTATGAAAAACTTTACAAAAATACGATGCAAACTATTGTCTTGTACTAGTCATATATTGTCTAGATACTACTCTTCTCGTCTGCCTATAATACATCTGTAATATATTATCTTGTAATATAGTGTCTCCATACTAACAACAGAAGACTCTGCTCCTCTACGCTCTCAGGCCATCCGTCGTCTAGTAATATGAACCACCACAGGTGGACAAAAAAGCTTGCCCTGGGGTAAACTAAAATGGAGGGCATCGAAACAATGTGATATAACATGATACAACCCCAAACATGGTGGTTTAATGCGGATTTACTGGGATAATAATTGGATGATAACTGGATGATAATGGGATGGTAATGGGATGATAATTGGATGATAATGGGATGATAGTGGGATAACAATGGGTTTAATATGTATGAGAATGTTTGGGTTAACTCACTGCCATGGAATATTGAGTGAATACTATATACTCGACTATGAATGAACCATAGTAAATAATGGGATAAAAATCGCCATTAATATTATGGGATATGCAGGTGAGTATTATGGGATTTGCAAGTTAGCAAACCATAGCAACTATAGATATGGGTATGGGTCAAAATTCAAGACCGTGGGGCCACAGATTTGAGCCCGTTTTTATTAACTACCCAATGATTGGGATATCCCATTTTGACCAACTTTCCCATCAAAATGGTGAACTTGTTTAGGGATCTCACCATAGACCTACCATGGTTAAAAAAACATGGTTTCATAATGAAATCCAAGAGAAAATTGGGAGGAACTCTGGTGGTTGAACAAAGAATGGTGAACTAATGAAGGAGAACTAGTTTAACTAATCATTAAAATTGCCATTAAAGTGACAATGGAACCATGTCACCATGTTTTTCCCACAGGGTTGTATAACTGTCCCAAAATTTGGGGTTTTTGAAAATCGAAAAAATATCGGAGATGATCTCCATAGTTGGCTGATGTGAAAAAATGAAGACATTTACATACATTTACCAACCCCTGATGACTGGCAACCAGAAGATTCCCCATCTTTGCCCATCTTAGATGCTGAATTCATCTGAAAAATCCTCCACTTTTGGGGGGCATCCAATCACTTGAAGCATCATCACAAATTCACCGAATGCAAGATGATCGTCCAAGTGGTCATCAGTCACAATGGCCGGATGTCACCAAACATGGAGAAACATCAAAACAATCGGGGGGTTCACCAGCCAAAATGTTGATTGAAACATGAAATATAGAGACCTGATCATCAAAAAATTGGATTTAACCATGAAGCCCTATTACATATAAGAATCACCAAACGAATGGGAACTGGTTAGATACTGCTCTTGGGTTGCTTCACCCATGCCATGGTCAAGTTACAATGGGATTGGGATTGGATCTAGTCCGAGCCCCCTGATTGGGTGATTTTTTTTAAACGAGGGGAAAGAATGTGTTAACTATTAGCGGGATGATTGCAATTATACATATATATATATGTGTGCATCTATATATACATATATATATATGCAAATGTAAATATATATATGTATCTAAATGATTATATATATATATGTATATGTAAATATATATATATATGTGTATATGTAAATATGTATATGTATATATATATATGTATGTAAATATGTATATTATATATGTATATTATATATATATGTGTATTATATATTATATATATATGTATATTAAATATATATGTATATTATATATATATGCTAATTACATGTAGTTATGATAATGTCTAATACCTGACTATATGGGCCTGGGTCAAAAAATACAGACATGGGGGACCACAGGTTGAAGTTTTTCTTAGTATTAACCATGCTATACCTGAAGTTTCCCAATTCCTGCCGTATCGCCAAGTAACTTTGGCCTCCAACAGGCACCGAACGGCGCCGCAGCAGCCATTCTGCGCGGCCGCAAACAGCGGCGTGGTGCCGCCGTCGGCCGTCAGGGCACCATTGGCGCCGGCTTCTAGTAGCAGTTCCTTAAAAGTCACTGGAGGGGATCACCCCAGTTAGGAACTGGTGAGCAACTGGGATTGCCCATAACTGAGATCAGGATGAAATGAGCTACAGCAGGTTGAAATGTATTCCCTGTTACTTGGGGGATCAGATCATTCGGGTTAGCATCTGGGATTAGTTGACCCATTTGTAGTTTTTAAACTGGATGATCTACGAAATGGTGACTTACTAACCAGGACTACTAACCACTTACTAAGTTGGATGATCCTCCAAGTAATGGGTGGTTTAACCCTCCAATACTATAATATAGGGGTTCACCATGTTGAAATGTCAAACATGGGGATACAATCCCAAAATACTGGTTGATGCTGATTTGATGGGGATCTAACTTAGCGACCAAATATGGGGTTGGAAACGATCAGAAATTGGTATATATTGATAGATGCTGGTTGTGGCTGGTTATGGTAAAAAAACAAAACTACCTGGGTTAATGAGGTATATTGAGGTTGCTGTTGGCATGATCATTCGTGGGTCGCCGTAAATGCGTCCACACAACCGGAATAGCACAATGTTTACTGGTTTAATCTGTGGCAGCAAGTATGTAAATTCTATATATATGAACAAAAATAACATTTTTGTCGTTTTGACCCTGGATTATTTTGGTGATTCTTTATCTTTACCTTTCGTGTTCTTGTTGCGCGCGCCAATGATAAAAAGATGCTTTTTCCTTCTATACACAGCACCGTGTCTACGGGTAGCATGCCACGGACCGATGCGGGTTGGGAAAGTGTGTGGAATGGCCACCGTGTGACACATGAAACCCGATGCCAGTGCAACGTCAAGTCAATCCCTGCCCCTCCATAACCCAGATCCATGCCAGCTTCACGACCAAGCAACGATGACATCCACATGTCCCGCCACAGATGCTTTCCAAATGGCTGACCTCAACGGCGCGTGGCAAGGCCCAAAGAAAATCTACTTCCAGTGGATTCCAAGAAGCTTTTGCAGGAAACATCAGGAAACCATGGTTGACCGGAAACGTTTATATAGGATTGTGTAGGTAAAGCTTCCAAGGATTTTGGAAGCACATTGGATACATCGCGCAACCATAAAAATGATGAAACAGAAGGCCCAAATCGTCGCCACTTGCGGCAATGTTCAGTGCCCTACTTTTGTACGACCTCCTCGGAGGCAAGGGCAACGTGCGGGCAAAGTTTGATTTCGCGTAGCGTAGAACATCCAGCTGCAGCTTTCTGCGTCAGAGCACCGCATAAGCGATCACCCGATTGATGATTTTTGACGGAAGGCAGACTCTCCAACCGGAACACCCAGGCTGCAAATGATATACAGTACAGCAGCTAGGAAAAGCAAATCACCGTTGGGAAATATACCAAAATGGATATGGAGGTTTCCTGAAATGGGGGTACCCCAAACTGGATGGTTTATAAAGAAAAATCCTATTAAAATGGATGATTTGGGGATACCCCTATTTCAGGAAACCTCCATATATGTGAAAAATATGTCATCCGTACTTTGGGATCAGCATCCTTGGGATGAAAAGCCTTTAGAAAAAGAGTTACAACTACCAACCAGCCAGCGTACTTTGTGGCAGAATGACAGGAACAATTTTTGCGGCAGATTGTGATCAAATAGGATCAATCACCTTACAAGATGCCAAAAAAACACCTTGATACTCAAAAATCTGGGTAAGTTGTAATATTTCACTAACCTGAATTGTTGAACCATAAAAGGGGATTATTTTCCCACAGTCGAAACATTCTTCCAGGTTTGGGGAGAATCGGCCATCCCCGCGGAAAAAGAATGGCTTTTGAATGGAAAAATCACCCATCTATTTATCAAAGCGGCGCCGTGCTTATCCTCAGGTGAGATCCTCAGGTGAGGCCCCCTAGATTTCTAGATAGCTAAGTCGACTTACAACTTGGGGGCCTCACCAAGGGTACCTATGGCAAGTTGATGCAACAGGCAAGGGTCGAAGGTCTGGTTGGGGTGAGCATCTCAGACCAACGAGTGGCTTGTTGTTTGGGGATATAACTATGCTTATTCAGTGGATTTTTTAACCAACGAGCATAACTGGGGGGGAAAACCATTCTGTGGCTTTTGATGACTTCTCAATTTGTCAAAAATCATCCGATGTTTTCTGCTTGGCTTTTCATGATCTGCATCTCTGCATCCCCCATTTTGTTCGTTGATGGTTCCATGGGACAAAAGCCCTTTTTATAAATGGGACTTTTAAGCCCACTGATGAATTTTGAAATGGATTGTTCAACACCCCAAATGGCGGGATCGGGTAAGGAGAATAATGGATTGTTAGCCTTTGTTAACCATCAAGACTCCCTTCTGCTGGTTTCACACAGCAAAATGACCCAGCCATGACGCTTTTATCTGTTTCGATCATTTACCTACTATACATTACTATACAGGACTATACAAGTAGTGTTTTTTTAGTTCGCCAGTTGTGTTAGTCAGTTCCCAAAGGGTACTTGGAGGATCATCATCCCCCGAATCGGTTCAGCGGTTGGGTCAACTAGTCCGCCAGTTACGAAAAGCCGCGTGAATGGCGTGATCCTCCAAGGAATACATTGAAAAAATGCTGCAACTGTTACCCTCCAGTAAATTATAACATAGCCATGGAAAGATCCACCATGCTATTAATAGGTTTTTTGCATCTATTTCTATGGGCCATCGTAATAACCATGGCGAAATGTTAGTCATAACCAGAGGCTACTCCATCCCTTTATTCTCAGTTACGGGCAATCCCCAACTCGTCTTCAATGGCTCATCCCCGACTCCCAATTGATGACAGGAGGGCTTTCCCAGCCATGTTTGACTGAGGGTAAGTCCCTTCAGAAATTCCCTTTGTTTCGATCCATTTATAGTCGTCCATTCATATCCCATTGAAAAATCTGAATGTTCCATTCATATCCCATTGTTATCCCATTATCCATATCCCATAAAAGGCAACCATTCTTTTCATGGATTGAAAACTTGGCTTTCCAGCTTTTCAACAACAAAAACCCTATCCTGCCAGGCACATGCCTACAGCTGCCTACAGCTTGGCCCGAAAAAAACATGTGGAGTTCAGCAGTTTCTTTGGGATTTTTGTCGATGGGATTTTCCAGAAAAACAATCCAGCGCTTCTGGGGGGATATCCCCATGAGAATGGGATGTTACCCTCTGGTAAACTCACAGTTTGCTATTAAAAATGCTTATAGAAATAGTTGTTTTATGTTGTTTTACCCATTAAAAATGGTGATTTTCCAGTTCGTTATGTCAATGTGTACCAGAGGGTATTCCAATATATAGCCTTTATCTCAGCCTAGTGAATTATCATAATTTTCCATAGATTTTACCACCAAGTTATCATCCCCAAATTGATACGTTCACCTAGTTTGGCCCATTCGGGTCATCTTCCAGTCGCCAGGGTCGTCAGAGGATTCAAGAGAGGTGAGGTGATCTTTGAGGACACCCCAACAAATCAGCGGGAGAATCCATTCATTTCATAATGAATCATCAGTGTCCATTTCAGGAACCTGAATTGGAGGTGCCTACCATATATAAGGCCGAAAAAGAAGGCCTATGTAAGGGGATATCCCCACAAAATATGGCCTTATATGGTACAGTAGCTCCATTTTAGGATCCTGAAATTTCCGTTGAAATAATGGGATATTATATGGGTAAGCATTCTGGGATATGAGTGCTTGTAATAACTTAATGGGACATTATTCTTGGTTATAATGGACATTATCTGGGATATGAGTGGTTGGTAAAAAATTCCCAAGACTCATGTCAGATCTTCCAAAGAAGCCCAAAAACCCTCAAACTCCATCTCCAACATCCCAATCTCGTCCAAGGAACTCCCCCTGTTCATCTTGGGCATCCGGATCTTGATACGCTATCAAGGCCATCCGCAGCTCACGCACATCTCCACAGGCCGCAGCCTGCCACAGTTTCCGGGCCAAGGCCTCCTGGTCGATCTGCCGCTGAAAGGCCAGCGTCACTTCCAAGGGCCTCCCCAGCGCGTCAAAGGACCTGCCTTCAGGCATGAGCTCCTGCCGAAAAAGAAAAAGTTGATCAGTTGATCCATGTTTTTTTTTCAGAAAATCCGAAAAGAATCCCATCCATGTAATCCGAAAATCCACCAGTCGGACCCCCCAAAAAGTCACTGAGACCATTCACCTTGAGGGTGTTGAATATGGGGAATGGGATTATGTAGAAAATTCAGAAAAATATGGCTAGACTCTAGACAGACATAAGATATGACATCTACATACATCGAGATAGTAGAGTGATCCAGTATTCAGAAACAAAACAACAAAACCTCGAAGTTTTTAAATATCTCTTGTAAAACGTCGGAAACAAAAAACTGAACGAAAACAACCCTGGAATACAAGAAACAACTAGTTGGAATGTGCAAAGTGAACCAACAGCGGAACAATCCGGCAACAAGTCATGGTCGGGTGGATGAACATCCCACCAAATCTTTCGTGGGTAGTTTGGGAGCCCCAGCAGCAAAAATCAGCGAGTGTCTGTGTGATCCGGATAAATAATGATAGGATATGATACGGTGGATGGTTGCGAAATCCTGCGCCAGTTGACAGGTGGTTTATCCCATCATTTATAGGGTTTCAACCATCCAAGGTGGTGCAGGATTTCTTCCATCCACAGTAGGTCTCTTTTTTCTGATTTGAAGATCATGATTTGTCCGGATAATTCCCTACAATGATAGATCCAGTTTTGGTCTGATTTTTTTGGTGAGGTCTGCCTCTTAAAGCAGCTACGAATTTCACAGAGAGGAAAGGGGAAGCCAAACTAACAGAGTTAATGACCATAGCTACTGGGATAATCCATAAACGGGACAACCATAGTGGTTTCCTGACCATAGTAGTTGCTAGTAGTTACATGTATAGTCAATATACCCGGCCTGGTAAACTAACACAAAAAACGAATTGGAAAATCACCAGTTTTCATGGGAAATTCCACTATTTCTATAGCCATTTTCAATAGCTATGGCCCCATGGTGATCGCTTTGAAAAGCTCGTGGAAACACAAAAACACAACTCGTTCCTGCTGAAAGTAGCCACCGTGAGTTGCGGACTCCCAGAGAGTTACAACCTGTCACACTTGGTTATAATATAATAATATAATTATATATATATATTTCTAATATTATGATTTGTTATAAACACCAAGTCTCACCAAGTTTTCTGTTCCAGATCTTCCTCATCTTCCTCGTTTCTTTTGTAAAAAGACATCCCTCCCCCTTATCTGAAGTGTTTTTATCATCGCATTGAAAACAAACAAAATTCAACACGCACCCCGGCTCACCCCCGTTTCAAAGCACATCCAAGATCATCATGGTTACATGGCGACTTTCACTTTTTTTGGCCTCAAGTGTGCAGATACAGATACTTAGGAGTTGGTAAAGTCCGATTCCAAAATAGAAAAATCAATGACGCTTCTATCTTTGAAAAGGGTTACCCTCTGGTAAACTAACATAGCTATTGAAAATGGTCATTTATAGTGGATTTACCCATTGAAAATTGTGATTTTCCATAGTTACGTTAGTTTACCAGAGGGTACTTACTTCTATACATAAGAAAATTGTTTTTCATTAAGTAATGTTAAATGCCAAAATGTTTGGTGGTAACATGTCCTCATGTGCTTGTACCCCGAAATACACTACCCCAAAAAGCTGTGGCTTAGAAAAATCCGCATCCCTATGTGTCCCCCCCAAAAAAACGGCTGTGTTGATCATTAGATTCCCATACTTGATGATTAATGATCAATTCCCATGCTTGACGGTGGAATAATGTTAAAACTACATATGGGGATGGATCAACACCTATAATGTTCCATAAAATTAATTAAGGGCTGGTGTGACCATGGCACATTTAGACTATATCCCTTAGATACCAAGTGATAACCAAGTTAGTACATATATCTATAATTCGGATTTGATGTTTGTTTAAAGCAGGCCATGTTTTTTCACTGACACCGGTGAAGACATCAAATTTGATATTTATATCATATATATATGTGTATATACATATATGTATACATCCCATACATCCGACTATATCCTCATGATATTCCCATATTTGTTGGTGAGATCCCACATGTTTTTTGCAAAGACAACATTCCCACTACGGTATCCCCATATGTGTTGGGTAAATCCCCATGAATCACCGGAAAAAAAAAAAAACATCAAAAGCCATAAATCACCCCATAGGTCACCATTTCGGGAGGGGTTCAATATATCCATCCGAATCTCGTTACCATTATCAAAGGAAGTTTAGGGGGAGAAACTTCCGTGTTACGGACTTTTAGAATGTCAGGGAAAGAGTTAGTCAAAGAAAGAGTTAGTCAAAGAAACAGTTAGTCAGGGAAAGAGTTAGTCAAAGAAAGAGTTAGTCAAGGAAAGAGTTAGTCAAAGAAAGAGTTAGTCAAAGAAAGAGTTAGTCAAAGAAACAGTTAGTCAGGGAAAGAGTTAGTCAAAGAAAGAGTTAGTGAGGGAAAGAGTTAGTCAAAGAAAGAGTTAGCAAAGAAACAGTTAGTCAGGGAAAGAGTTAGTCAAAGAAAGAGTTAGTGAGGGGAAGAGTTAGTCAAAGAAAGAGTTAGTGAGGGAAAGAGTTAGTCAAAGAAAGAGTTAGTTAGGGAAAGAGTTAGTTAGGGAAAGAGTTAATCAGGGAAAGAGTTAGTCAAAGAAAGAGTTAGTGAGGGAAAGAGTTAGTTAGGGAAAGAGTTAATCAGGGAAAGAGTTAGTCAAAGAAAGAGTTAGTGAGGGAAAGAGTTAGTTAGGGAAAGAGTTAATCAGGGAAAGAGTTAGTCAAAGAAAGAGTTAGTGAGGGAAAGAGTTAGTGAAAGAAAGAGTCAGTGAGGGAAAGAGTTAGTCAAAGAAAGAGTTAGTCAGGGAAAGAGTTAGTCAAAGAAAGAGTTAGTGAGGGAAAGAGTTAGCAAAGAAACCGTTAGTCAAAGAAAGAGTTAGTCAAAGAAACAGTTAGTCAGGGAAAGAGTTAGTCAAAGAAAGAGTTAGTGAGGGAAAGAGTTAGTCAAAGAAAGAGTTAGTGAGGGAAAGAGTTAGTGAAAGAAAGAGTTAGTCAAACAAAGAGTTAGTCAAAGAAACAGTTAGTCAGGGAAAGAGTTAGTCAAAGAAAGAGTTAGTCAGGGAAAGAGTTAGTCAAAGAAAGAGTTAGTGAGGGAAAGAGTTAGTGAGGGAAAGAGTTAGCAAAGAAACAGTTAGTCAGGGAAAGAGTTAGTCAAAGAAAAGAAGTTAAAACTCTAGGATCTTCCCTCACTGTTAAATGGCATTGCAATTGGTGCTGGTGGAGAGTTGCGATGGAGTTTGAGGAAGTCTCGCACGAAATGCGTTTTTGAGAGATAGCAGATGCACGAAACCCATATTATTCCCGAGAGCGCCTGCGAAGGGTTCTTCGTAAAAAAGCAGCCGTTATACTAGATCTTCACTCCTTCACATCTGCTGATCTAGATCTTCACACCCTCACACCTGCAGATCTAGATCTTCACACCTTCACACCTGCAGATCTAGATCTTCACACCCTCACATCTGCAGATCTAGATCTTCACACCCTCACATCTGCAGATCTAGATCTTCACACCCTCCCACCTGCAGATCTAGATCTTCACATCCTCACACCTGCAGATGTAGATCTTCACACCCTCACATCTGCAGATCTACATCTTCACACCTTCACACCTGCAGATCTAGATCTTCACACCCTCACACCTGCAGATCTAGATCTTCACACCTTCACATCTGCAGATCTACATCTTCACACCTTCACATCTGCAGATCTACATCATATACACCCTCACACCTGCAGATCTAGATCTTCAAACCTTCACATCTGCTGATCTGGATCTTCACACCTTCACACCTGCTGATCTAGATCTTCACACCTTCACACCTGCAGATCTAGATCTTCACACCTTCACACCTGCAGATCTAGATCTTCACACCTTCACATCTGCAGATCTAGATCTTCACACCCTCACATCTGCCGATCTACATCTTCACACCTTCACATCTGCAGATCTCCTCTCGCTCTTCTTCTATTTCTCTCTTTAGGCGGGGGCGGTGCCGCCGGAGCGCCACGAAACGCAACCCTTTCGCACGAAATGGACGTTGGACGCCAAAAACTGTGGTAAAATTGCGATTTTACTTTGTCCATCGCAACCCTTTCGCACGAAATGGACGTTGGACGTTAAAAACTGAGGAAAAATTGCGACTTTGAAGCGTCGCGCGCAACCCTTTCGCACGAAATGGACGTTGGACGTCAAAAACTGAGGAAAAATTGCAACTTTGAGGTGTCGCGCGCAACCCTTTCGCACGAAATGGACGTTGGACGTCAAAAACTGAGGAAAAATTGCGACTTTGGGTTGTCAATCGCAACCCTTACACACGAAATGGACGTTGGACGTCAAAAACTGAGGAAAAATTGCGACTTTGAGTTGTCAATCGCAACCCTTACGCACGAAATGGACGTTGGACGTCAAAAACTGAGGAAAAATTGCGACTTTGAGTTGTCAATCGCAACCCTTACGCACGAAATGGACGTTGCGTCAAAACTGAGTAAAAAATTGCGACTTTGACGTTGTCAATCGCAACCCTTACGCAACGAAATGGACGTTTGTGTGTAAAAGCGTCTGTGTGTAAAAGTCTCTGTGTGTAAAAGCGTCTGTGTGTAAAAGAGCCTGTGTGTAAAAAGCGTCTGTGTGTAAAAGCGTCTGTGTGTAAAAGCGTCTGTGTGTAAAAGCGTCTGTGTGTAAAAGCGTTTGTGTGTAAAGGCTTTTGTGTGTCAAAGCGTCTGTGTGTCAAAGTGTGTTTGTGTAAAAGCACCATGTGTAAAAGCGTTTGTGTGTAAAAGCTTTTGTGTGTAAAAGTGTCTGTGTGTAAAAGCGTCTGTGTGTAAAATCGTCTGTGTGTAAAAGCGTCTGTGTGTAAAAGCGTCTGTGTGTAAAAGCGCCTGTGTGTAAAAGGCAAAAGCGTTTGTGCTGAAAAGCGTCTTTTTATGTGTGTCAAAGTGTGTTT